TTTAATTCTAGTAAAAAGACCAGACTTAATGGTTTGATTGAGACTGGAGGGACACGGAAGACGTGGCCCCCGGACTCTGTTAGCCCAAAACTAAAACCATTCCCAAGGCCAACTCTTCAGACAAAGGTTAGACTGGACTATGGGACATAAAATGATACTCATGAAGAAAATGCTTCTTAGCTCAAGTAGATACATGAGACTAAATGGGCAGCTCCTGTCTGGTGGAGAGATGAAAAGGCACAGAGGGTCAGGAGCTGGTTGAATGGAAACAGGAAATCCAGGGTGGAAAGGAGGAGTGTGCTGTCACAGTATAGGGAGAGCAACTAGGGTCACATAACAATATATGTATAAATTTTTGTATGAGAGACTAACCCGAATTGTAAACTGTCACTTAAAGCACAGCAATAAATTTTTTTTTTTTTAAACTCCGCTTCAGGGGTACAGGCACTGGGAAGGACTATTTCACCAGATGTATCTTTCCTCTCAAATAACTTCAAGGAAATTGACTTTTCCACTTCTCCTCCAGCTTTTCTGCTCTCCCTTGTGCCTCCTCTGGCTCTTCTGCCTATGACACACTAAGCAATGCCCACCGAAGGCAAGTCTCTCTCAAGCCCCATGTCAAGATGCCTGGCGAATCTCTCTCTCTTCCCTGCTCCAGTTTCACACAGCCACCACCTACTCTTCCTCCTTCCATCTCTCCCTTCCATCTCTCCCTCTTGCTCTACCTCCCCTCCTTTCAACAAACCTATTCTCTGACAGACAGTTTTTCTTGGTCTTGGATATACAAACTTAGGAAGACATAGTTTCTATCTTCTACGAATTTACGGTCCAACATGGAAGGGCAGTGACTGTCCCCCTCCCTAAAATACACTTATTCTGCATTTGGATTTGCTTTTCCTGATTGCCGTGCTTCCACCAGCAATGTACCAACTAACTGAACGCCTTCCTTACTCACTGTCAAAATACCTGACACCAGCATTGCTTCTAATCATGAATTCATTTATAGCAAAGGAAGTGAGCCCATGTGCTGGTGTCCCCAGGGCTGTCTGGTCTTACCACGTTCTTCACAACCCAGAAGCTAATCTTATGGACAGTAGTATGGCCTATAGAAGGCTCAGATACAGCCCCAGCTGGGAGACACCACCTGGTGATGTAGAGGTTCTGTCCCACAAGATGTGATATATGCTCTGAACCAGTGACAGTGCTGCCAAAATCCACAGGTCTGGAACCCAGGGGTGGAAGTGAGCGCATCTCTATTTCACCCAATGACCCTCTCTCTAAATGCCTCCTTCCCACCTCTGTGGCTTTGTATCAGATCTCTTTCTGCTTCATGTAGCAAGAGTGATTTTGGTTATCTGCCACTGAAACCTGACCCATGTGCTTGCTGAACCAGAATCTCTCAGGGAGGGGTCTGAGTATCTGCTTGGAATGAATCTTATGCTTGCTGAAGTTTGAAATTCATTGATAAATGTTCTTTGCAGTAACTTCAAGGTAAGGAATTTCTTCCAGGCCGTGGTGAAGTGTGATGCCCAACTCCTACCTGGCAATAAAGAACACATCTCTAAAAAAACAAAAACCAAACCCATTGCCGTTAAGTCGATTCCGACGCATAGCGACCCTATAGGATGGAGTAGAACTGCCCCATACGGTTTCCAAGGAGCGCCTGGTGGATTTGAACTGCCGCAAACTTTTGGTTAGCAGCTGTAGCACTTAACCACTACGCCACCAGGGTTTCCAAGCAAGTCTCTAGTGACCAGAATTTGATTACAGAATGCGGGGGTGAATGGGAATTGGGTAAGATGGATGAGCAGCCAGGCCCTGAAGCTGGGTTGCCTACATTCAAATCCTCCCTCTGCCACTCACAAGCTATGTGGCTTTGGGCAAGTTATTTTACCTCACTGTGCCTTGGTTGGGAGAAGTCCTGGTGGCGCAATGGTTAAGCAATCAGCTGCTAACCAAAAGGTTGGCAGTTCAAGCCCACGAGCCACTCCTCAGGACAAAGATGTGGCAGTCTGCTTCCATAAAGATTTACAGCCTTGGAAACCCAATGGGGCAGTTCTACTCTGTCCTATAGGGTCACTATGAGTCAGAATCAACTCGACAGCAATGGCTTTGGTGCCCTGGTTTCCTCATTGTAACATGAGGATAATAATGTTGTTGTTATCAGTTGCTGTTAAGTCAGCTCTGACTCCTAGCAACTCCATACACAACACAACAGAGTGGAACACTGCCAGGTCCTGTGCCATGTTCATGATTGTAGCAGTACATACAACAATATTCTGTTGTGATTCATGGGGTTTTCATGGTCTAATTCTTATAAATAGATTGCCAGACCTTTCTTCCTAGTCTTTGTCTGGAAACTCCGCTGAAACCTGTCCACCATGGGTGACCCCTGCTGGTATCTGAAATAGTGGTGGTATAGCTTCCAGCATCATAGCATCACGCAGGCCATCACAGCATGACAGACAGACAGATGAGTGGTGGGAGGATAACAGTAGTATCTACCTTCTACAGTT